CAAAAATCGAAAAATTGAAAAAATGAAATCCCAAAATATCTAAAAAGCACAAAATCGAAAATCGCAAATCGAAAATTGAAAACCAAAAAATTCACAAAATAAAGTGGAAAATTAAAAAATTGAAAAATCGAACAATTTAAAATTTCTCAAACCGAAAAATTGTTGAAAAGAAAAACTGGGAATTCGTGAAACTGAAAAATCGAAAAATTAAAATAACGAAAAACCGAAAATATGAAAAATTATAAAATCTGGAAATTGGACAAACGAAAAATTGAAAAATTGAAAAAACTGAAGAAATAAAAATTGAAGAAATGATAAATTAAAAAACCGAAAGAAATAAAAAGAAGGACGCTCAAAAATCGAAGAATTGAAAAAATGAATTCCCAAAATTTCTAAAATGCGCAAAATCAAAAAATTTTCAATTCGAAAAATTCCAAATCGAAAATTGAAAATCAAAAAATAAAGTGAAAAATTAAAAAATTGAAAAATCGAACAATTTAAAATTTCTCAAACTGAAAAATTGTTGAAAAGAAACACTGAGGAATCGTGAAACTGAAAAATCGAAAAATTAAAATAACGCAAAACTGAAAATATGAAAAATTATAAAATCTGGAAATTGGACAAACGAAAAATTAAAAAATTGAAAAAACTGAAGAAATAAAAATTGAAGAAATGATAAATTAAAAAACCGAAAGAAATGAAAAGAATGACGCTCAAAAATCGAAAAATTGAAAAATGAAATCCCAAAATCTCTAAAATGCGCAAAATCGAAAAATTTTCAATTTGGAAAATTGCAGATCGAAAATTGAAAACCAAAAAATTCAAAAATTGGAAAAACGAACAATTTAAAATTTTGCAATTCGAAAAATTGACGAAAAAAGAAGCTGGAGAATCGTGAAACTGAAAAATCGAAAAATTAAAGTAACGAAAAACTGAAAATATGAAAAATTATAAAAGCTGGACATTGGACAAACGAAAAATTGAAAAATTGAAAAAACTGAAGAAATAAAAATTGAAGAAATGAAAAATTTAGGAAATGACAAATTAGAAAACTGAAAGAAATAAAAAAATGACGCTCAAAAATCGAAAAATTGAAAAATTAAATCCCAAAACCTCTAAAATGCGCAAAATCGAAAAATTTTCAATTCGAAAAATTGCAAATCGAAAATTGAAAACCAAAAAATTCAAAAAATTAAGTGGAAAATTCAAAAATTGGAAAATCGAACAATTTAAAATTTCGTAAATCGAACAATTGATGAAAAGAAAAACTGGGAAATTGTGACACTGAAAAATCGAAAGGTTAAAATAACGAAAATCGGAAAACATGAAAAATTACAAAAGGTGAAAATTGGATAAATAAAAAATTCAAAAAATAGAAAAAATGAAGAAATGAAAATTTAAGAAATAAAAAATTGAAGAAATAACAAATTTAAAAATTCTAAAATTAACAAGAATGACGCTCAAAAATAAAAAAATTGAAAAAATAAAATCCCAAAATACCTAAAAAGCGCAAAATCGAAAAATTGCAAATCGAAAATTGAAAACCAAAAAATTCAAAAAATTAAGTGGAAAATTCAAAAATTGGAAAATCGAACAATTTAAAATTTCGTAAATCGAACAATTGATGAAAAGAAAAACTGGGAAATCGTGACACTGAAAAATCGAAAGGTTAAAATAACGAAAATCGGAAAACATGAAAAATTACAAAAGGTGGAAATTGGATAAATAAAAAATTCAAAAAATAGAAAAAAAAAAGAAATGAAAATTTAAGAAATAAAAAATTGAAGAAATAACAAATTTAAAAATTCTAAAATTAACAAGAATGACGCTCAAAAATCAAAAAATTGAAAAAATAAAATCCCAAAATACCTAAAAAGCGCAAAATCGAAAAATTTTAAAATCGAAAATTGAAAACCAAAAAATTCAAAAAATAATGTGGAAAATTCAAAAATCGAAAAATCGTACAATTTAAAATTTGCAAATCGAAAAATTGATGAAAAAAAAGATGAAAAATTACAAAAGCTGGAAATTGGACAAACGAAAAATTGAAAAGTTGAAAAAATGAAGAAATGACAAATTTAAAACTACAAAAAATAAAAACGATGAGCCCCAACAATAAAAAATTGAGAAAATTTAATCTTTAAATATCTAAAAAACGCAAAATTGAAAGATTTTAAAATCGAAAAAAAAAGTAAAACATTCAAAAATTGAGAAATTTTTCCAATTAAAAATTTTCAAATCGAAAAATTGATGAAACGAAAAACTGAAGAACATTCATCTGAAAAAACTAAAAACTAAAAATTCGAAGCATCGAAACCATCACAAATTACAAAACCGGGAAATTGAAAAATCGAAAAACTGGAAAAGCGAAAATTTGAAACAACCGAATAATTGAAAAAACAAAGTCGAAAATTTAAAAGTAGAAAAATCCAACAATTTAAAACTTCGCAAAAAGAAAAACTGGGGAATCGTTCATCTGAAACAACTAAAAATCGGAAAATTAAAATAACGAAAAACTAAAACCATGAAAAATTACAAATTGGACAAACGAAAAGTTGAAAAATAGAAAAAAATGAAGAAATGAAGATTTAAGAAATAAAACATTCAAGAAAAAACAAATTTAAAAAACCCAAAAATTAAAAAGAATGACGCTCAAAAATCGAAAAATTGAAAAAATATAACGCCAAAATATCTAAAAAGTACAAAATCGAAAACTGCAAATAAAAAATTGAAAACCAAAAAATTCAACATATAAAGTGGAAAATTCAAAAATTGAAAAATCGAACAATTTAAAATTTTGCAAATCGAAAAATTGATGAAAAGAAAAACTGGGGAATCGTGAAACTGAAAAATCGAAAACATGAAAAATTACCAATGCTGAAAAAACGAAAAATTGAAAAATTGAAAAAAATGAAATGAGAAATTGAATAAATGACAAATTTAAAAACACAAAAATTAAAAACGATGACGCTCAAAAATCAAAAGGAAAAATATAATCTTTATAAAAAACGCAAACTCGACGAATTTTAAATTCGAAAAAAAAGTGGAAAATTCAAAAACTGAGAAATTGACCAATTAAAAATTAGCAAATCGAAAAATTAAAAATTCGCAGTATTGAAACCATCACAAATTACAAAACCTGGAAATTGAAAAATCGAAAAACAGGAAAAGCGAAAATTTGAACAACCGAAAAATTCAAAATCTGAAAAATTGGAAAATATAAGTTGAAACCCGAAAAATTGCAAAATAAAAATCGAAAAAGCGAAAAATTACAAAATTTTAAAAATGAAATATCTAAAAACTGATGAATGAAAAATTGAAAGACCTAGAAATTGAGGAATCGAAAAATTGAAAAACGGAAAATTAAAATATCAAAAAATTGAAAAATTAGAAGGTTGAAGAAACGAAAAACAAAAAATTCAGAAATAGAGCATAGAGAAACTTAAAAATCGAAAAAGCGATAAACTGTAAAATCGAAAAATCTAAAGTCAAAAAATTGTAAGTCGAAAAACTTCAAAAATAAAAAACCGAAAAATCGGAAAATTAAAGAAACGGACAATTACAGAAACTAGAAATTGAAAAATCGGGAAATTGAAAAACAAAAAATTCCTAATTCGAAAATTGCAAAATAAAAAAGTGAAAAGTCAAAAATTTATAAAACGAAAGTTGTTGGGAAATCGAAAAATTGTGAAATCGAAATATTGTAAAATCTAAAAATTACAAAATAAAAATCTAAAAACTGAAGAACTAAAAATTGGAAAACCGAGAAATTGACGAATGGAAAAATTGAAAAACGAAAAACTAAAATATCCAAAAATTGAAAAATTGAAAATTTGGAAAAACGAAAATTCAGAAAATTGAAAATAGAACATAGAGAAACCTAAAGAGAAACTTAAATGCAGAAGTCCAATATCTAAAAATTTCAAAAACGATAAACTGTAAAATCGAAAAATTCTAAAATCGAAAAATTTAAAAAAATGAAAAATTAATAAACCGTAAAATCTAAACACTCAAAATTGAAAAATCGAAAAACTGAACACACGAAAAATAAAGAAATCGAAAAATTGAAAATCAGAAAATTCCAAAACCGAAAAATTGGGAAATTAAAACTTGAAACCTGAAAAATTGCTGTCCCTTTTAACTGATTTGACCTAGTTCTTGAGTTTTAAAAATAATATTCCAACAATGAAAATAATACTCATACTCTGGCTGAAAAATAAGTAACATACAACATATTGGATTACTTATAATTAACAGATCACCTTTTAGAACTTCAAGCCATTAAAACCTAAAAACTGAACACTTCAACATGAAATCATAAACCCTCAAACAAGTTCAGTTCTTGCGATTCCTTTCATCCCGACCCAAAAAAAAAACAAAAAGCACAACTCTTACATAAGACCTATTAATGTCACATCTTTATTACTCTTAACTAAATTTAGACTAAATCCCACATGCAGACGTAATAACCAAACGACAAAGAAAGCCGTTATCTACAGAAGACGCAATTAAAGATTTGCATAACGACTATTACCAACTCCATTACGCCTCCACAGGATTTACAAAAATAATCCGCGTTTTAATTCGAACAACAAAACGAAAAAGATTTCAGAGCTGGAATGCCAATGAAAACCCCAGGTACATGCAGGGCCGGATTTCCGGCGTGGCGTAATTTCATTTAAGATTCTTTTATCGGCTTGCGCCCCCCGATGCGGCCCTGCGTACGCGTACACACCTGTCCCATAAATCGGCGTTATTTCCATTTTGTAGCGAGCAGATGGATGTCGTAATTTTTAATGTAACGTTGATTGCAATCTGCTGATTTATCGGAGCTGGAAAATGCAGCAGCTCGCATTGTTCAGCAGGAAATTGCAACAAATCATGCGGGAGACAGTGTGGATTTAAATGGGTTTATTTGAACGGAAGTGTGGAAAAATCGGGTTGTGGTGGTGTGGGTGGTGAGTGAGTTGATTGGGAGATTTACGGTTTTATTTTTACAGGTGTTGGATGGCTGATAGTTATTACAGTTCGTGGATTCTTACAGCTCCGGTGTGCATTTCGCTACTGGTTTCTCTAAGTGAGTACAATTTTCGATTATTATGATTAAATATTTAAAAAGCAAAATATTTAGCGTTTAATGTTTATTATTTTGCTAATTAAAACAAAAGAAAATGAGAAAATATCAAATTTCTAATTGTAACATTGAGTAAATTTTATTTATTTAAATGAAACAGAGAAAATATGTACAATAATAAAAATTAATAAAAAAAAACAGATCCTGTTTAAATGGGGAAGATATTTTTGGTGAATTCTCGTCAAATTATCACAATGAAGCCATTTCTGTTATATGTCTTCAAATAACTCAAAAAATGTAGAAACCAGTTCCCAAAAGTTTTCAAAAAAAGTCTTTAGACCATCAAAATTAAGAATAAAATAACTTTTATTATACCATCTCAGATAAATCAAATATAACAAAAAAATCTAAAAAAATAAAAAAATTGCAAATCGAAAATTGAAGAAACGAAAAATTAAAATCAAGTTTAATAATTTTACTATTTTTAAGTTCTTTAAATTTGAAATCAAAAAATTAAAAATAGAGGAACTCAAAAATCAAACAATTGAAAAAACGAATATATTAAATACTATACACTGAAAATTCGAAAAATTGGAAAATATACAAATTAAAAATAGAAACTCAAAAATTGATAAAACGAAGAAATTAAGCAGAAAATTAGGAAAATTGAAGAATATTTGTTTAACTGAAGAAATGAAAAATTGAAAAATCGAAAAAATGAAGAAACGGAAAATCGAAAAATCGAAAATGACAAATAGAAATAGACAAAAACCGAAATACCGAAAGACAAAAATTTGAGAGAACTAAAGTAAAACTTATGAAATTGAACAATTAAAAACACTAAAAACTAAACTTCAAAAAATTTTAAAATCGAAAAATTCAAGAAATAAACTGAAAAATCGAAAAATTGAAGAAATGAAATACTGAATAAATCCAAAAACTGAACGTAAAGAAAGTGAAAAATTTTAAAAATTAGGGACTAAAATATCTAAAATTCTAAAATCGAAAAATTGAAAAATTTACAAGTGATTATTAGAAAAATTGAAGAAACCAAATACTGAAAAAAACGAAATTATTGATAATAAGAGAACTCAAAAATCTAATAATTGAAAAATCAAAAATTGAAAAATTTGGAAACTCGAAAATCAAACTGACAAAACGAAAAAATAAAATATTCAAAAATTGAAAACACGAATAATTGAAGAAATAACAAACCAAAAAATTGAAGAAATCAAAACTAAAAATTTGAAAAACTGAAGAAACCAAAAATTGAAGAAACGAAAAATTAAAATCAAGTTTAATAATTTTACTATTTTTAAGTTCTTTAAATTTGAAATTAAAAAATTAAAAATAGAGGAACTCAAAAATCAAACAATTGAAAAAACGAATATATTAAATTAACTACTATACACTGAAAATTCGAAAAATTGAAAAATCGCCAAATTAAAAATGGAAACTCAAAAATTGGAAAAACGAAGAAATTAAACAGAAAATTCGGAAAATTGAAGAATATTTGTTTAACTGAAGAAATGAAAAATTGAAAAATCGAAAAAATGAAGAAACGGAAAATCGAAAAATCGAAAATGACAAATAGAAATAGGCAAAAACCGAAATAACGAAAGACAAAAAATTGAAAGAACTAAAATAAAACTTATGAAATTGAACAATTGAAAACATCAAAAACTAAACTTCAAAAAATTTTAAAATCGAAAAGTTCAAGAAATAAACTGAAAAATCGAAAAATTGAAGAAATGAAATACTGAATAAATCCAAAAACTGAACGTAAAGAAAGTGAAAAATTTTAAATTTAGGGACTAAAACATCTACAATTGAAAAATCGAAAAATTGAAAAATTTAAAATCGAACATTGAGGATTACAAGAATCGAAAAATGAAGAAACGAAAAACTGAAAATGGAAAATGACAAATAGAAATAGTCAAAAATCGAGAAATTTAAAAACAAAAAAACTGAAAAATCGAAGAATTGAAGAAATGAAAAACTGAAAAATCCAAAAGTAGAAATATACATAGATACTAAAAATTGAAAAAGGAAACGAAAAACTAACATCTAAAATAAAAAAATTGAAGAATTTAAAAACGAAAATTGGAAAAACTGAAGAAAACAAAAATTGAAAAAACGAAATATTTAAAATCGAAAAATTCAAAAATTAAAAGTAGAAAAACGCAAAAATCAAACAATTGAAAAAACGAGGAAATATAATGTTTAATTTCTTCGTTCTTTTCACTGAAAATTTGAAAAATTTAACTAAAGAAATGGAGAAATAAAAAATTGGAAAATCGACAAATTAAAAATATAGAAACTTAAAAATTGAAAAAACGAAAAACTAAAAAATCTATAATTGAAAATCGAAAAATTGAAAAGTTCCAAATTGAAAATTAGAAAACCCGAAGAAACGAAAAACTGAAAATTGAGAAAATCGAAAATCGAACACATTCAAAATGGCGACGTCTGATACGGACGTACCTACCAGTGATCCGACAATTTTATTACAGTTAAAGTGTGAAAGATGCAAGAAAGTTGTCACAAATGCGTGCATTCGTTGTGTAAAATGTGGTGTAACGTATCACCGTAGTTGTGCCTTTACTAAAAATGAAAGATCTAAGTGTTTTCATTTTCTTAGTGAAAATGAAATGCAGTGTATTCACCACCAAGTTGATGATCAAGTTGATACAGTTGATGTCTTAACTTTAAATGAAGATGAACCAACGTCACAAGCCATTATTGACTTTCTAAGTAGCAACAAATTTTCGGGAATTCTACGTGATGCAATTGTTGCAGCTACTGCTCCGTTGCAAAACACTGTTGAAGGACTTAAGCAAGAACTCTCAGATCTGAAGTCTACTAATATCGATATGATACGATTATTTAATAACTGGCCAGAGAAGAATTTAATAAAATCATCGGATAAGGAGGTTGGTGCTTTATCTGACTTTTTTTTAGACGGTGATAGTAAAACTTTTAGCAACGGAGGTCATCGAACTCAGCCGATTAAAACCCAAAAAACAACGACTGAAAGAACTATAAACACCAACTTGATTTCGGATGTCCCGTCAAATTCTAATTCAATACAATTCAAAACAAATAGTAGCTATCTACAAGTTCCGAAAATTATTAGTAATGATGATGGTTCACCGAATTTTAATCTCGAACCAATTATGCCAACGACAAAAACACAGAGTCAAGGGAGCATCTATAACAAAAACACAACATCCTACAACAACAGCGTTCTAGTTGATGCAGATGGGTTTCAAACAAAAATGTCTACGAGGAATAAACGTAAAATTGTTAGAGGGAATGCTACTTTACAAAATATGTCACTCAAGGCTGCGAAGCGTCTCAGTACTGTCTATGTTGGCAATTTACAACCAAATACAGTGGAAAATGATGTTAATGAATTTTTAAGATCTAAATTTCCAAACTTTGAATTTCTAGTGGACAAACTACCTAGAAGAATTAATGCCAAAAGTGTTTCCTTTAAGGTAACGGTTGATCCAACTATTTACAACGATTTTTTCAAAGAAGAGTTATGGCCGGAAGGTGTTATAATTAAGAAATTTTATTTTTTAAAGAAAAAAGAAGGGGAGGCATCTCAAAATGTAAGGAAGCCTTCAGAAGCACACAATTAGGTCACGTCTTTATGTCAGGTGAGGGCAAAGATCTTGATAGTTTACAGAATCTTGATAGTTTACAGATTTACTATCAAAATGTCCGAGGACTTAGAACAAAGCTAAACGAATTGTGCCATTCAATCCTCAGTGAGTGTTACCCAATAATAGTAATTTCTGAAACGTGGCTGTGTGATGGCATTTTTAATAATGAATTTATTGATAAAAGATACTGTGTATTTAGGAAAGACAGATCATCTCAAACAAGCATCAAGTCTCGAGGGGGTGGAGTGCTCATTGCCATACAGTCCCATTACAGTTCCAGTGAACTTGATGTTAACACATCAAATAGGGAAGAAATTTGGATAAAACTAGTAGTTGGTAAAACTAATATAATTCTCGGTGCTTGCTACATTCCACCAGGATCAGCTCGTCAACTTTATAGTGATCATATTGAATTGGTTAATTGTATTGTGTCACGCTTTCCTAATCACATTGTATGCATAGTAGGTGATTACAATTTGCCTGATATTAAGTGGAATGCAGCATCTACAGAAAGCATGTCAGAAGGACTGTATCCATCGAATGTTAGCTGTGACACTGAACGTATCATCTGCGATGGTATGGCTTTTGCCGGCTTGGCACAACACAATTCCGTACAAAATGTTAACTTTGTAACTCTAGATTTAATTTTTTGTAACCACACCACATTGGTCAATGAATGCTTACCTCTTTTGAAATGTGATAAATACCATCCAGCTGTGATTGCAAACATCTGTGATATTAATACTCTTATTTTGAAATCTAACGAACCGTGTTTTTATCGTGATTTTGGAAATGCCCCCTATGAACTAATTGATAATTACCTATCAAATGTAAACTGGAATTTCTTAAACAATTTCTTTGATATTAATCAATGTGTAAGTGCTTTCTATAGTATAATCAATTATGTAATCGAAACATTCATTCCGTTAAAAAAATGTCAAAATAATAATAAATTTCCCAGTTGGATAGATAATTCTACTAAATCTTTAATTATACAGAAGAAAATAGCTCATAAGGATTATAAAAAATCTAATTCACATTATGATTACGTGAGATTTGCTCAATTAAGATACGAATGTAAAGAGGCTATTCACAATTGTAGACAATTATATATTGATAAGGTGGAAAATAATATAATATCTAATTCAAAAATGTTTTGGAACTATGTAAAAGCCAATAAACAGAACAGTGGCTTTCCTAAAACAATGTATTATAATGACGTGGAAGCTCATTCTTCATTTGACATTGCTGACTTGTTTGCATCATATTTTCAATCTGTATTTAGTCATCCTGATCCCGATGTTAATTTCTGTGATACTTATTACTGTGATA